TCTAAAAATACAATATGAGAATTAACTGCACAATTACTAGAAATGTGCACCTTGGATATTATACAATTTGCATACATACAATTTTTTGGGGAAAAAGACACATTTTTAGTTTATATGTTAAATGTTTGTGTAAATATGCATAATGGATCGAATTGTGAATTAAATACTAGGATATTACTTAATTTATTGATTCATCCTTTCATTAATTCATTTAAATACTACAACTATTTAAATTTAAATCATAAAATGTAGAGTTCAGACTCTAAAGGCCACATCAGTTGAATTCTGTGTGAATGTGGTCAGTTGTGACGTTGCAAACACCAAATAGAGTTTCAAGAACTTTGATGAAGTTTGGCGATTGCAACACCTCTGCAATACTGTTAACATGTAACAGTTTGTAATCCATGAGAGACCAGCAAATGGGACTTGGAGACACCATTAACTATTCATAGATTAATTTACCTTACAGTGCTCAAGGCACATGTACCATCACAGAAGAAAGATGGTCCCTTAAGACCAATAAGGCCACTAATTAAGTCACAAATGAAGGATAAGAATGAGGTGCAATTCCAAACACATAACGACATGTCTGATGTCATCCTCAACAGCACGTCCAACCATCTCTGGATGGAGTTTAACAGCAATGGTACCGGTTCCAGCAAAGGATTCAAGCTGTCGTACAGTAGTAAGTTAAACGAAATGCCAATAAAGGCTCCATCCATTAATCACACACTAATTCTTTAGAAACACCTACACAAGCTTTATATATGAAGTAACTCTTCTGAATGAATCTTATAAACATGTCTAGTGGTATTCCCCTGTGTTTGGGTGAAATCTCTTGCTTCTTCAATTTTCCCTCCAAACGTGTTTTCCTTGCCTGTCACTCAATATAAATATAAAGTCACAATCAATATACTGACACTGTCAGATAGTAAAAAAAAAAGATCATATTTACTGTAAACACTGACAAATCTAGCATTCACTTTGATTAAAAATGAATGGTGGTTTGAAACTGATTTTCAGCTCAATTTATGGAATTGTCACCACACTGAGACAGTAATTTGATGCCTGACTGCTGACAGTTTTGACAAAATAATCATATTTTGCACATCCCGCATGCACTAAATACAGTAGCCATTTTGCTTTCTGATTTTGCTAACTATTAAAGGACCTACTTAAACTGTTGGAAATGATCTCAAATTTTCCAAACAAACCTTTTTTTTATCATTTAATTATCAAGGTTGTGAAACAGAAGCGCAATAGTTATAATAAATAAATACACACATACACAAAGTTAGTATTCTTATTATTATTATTACACTCACACACACATAGATTCTGACAGTAAATGCGTAAAAAGCAAATACTATTACTCTAATTACAAGAAAGAACGAGTAGAAACAAAGACAGTAAAGACACAGCATGTGCAAGATATTACAGTTTTAATTGCTGGTCAGAGACAGTCTGATAATATCCTCATTATCCACTCCTCATTATTTCCTCGTTAAGACTACCACCATCTTCCCAGCCAAAAGAAGGAGAACAGTAAATGTATTAAAAAGCAGCTCTGCAGGTTTATTGTTTTTTGGATGACACATTTTTTGAAAAGGTTTTAGCTTGAAATGTTCCTGCATTTGGAAATGTACGTTAACCAATCAGGTAGAATGGACGGCATGTTTGAAAAGGTGATCTTTGAGTTGAGCATATGCTGTGCTGGTATTAATTTGAGATGGGCTCCTGGGGGCTGCATAGGTAATTGTTGTGAGCAGGTGTAGCTTTTATTGCACCACCTTTATGTCATTATTAAGCAAGAGGCTGATCCAGCCTGCCAGGGGGTTGATTTCAGGTGGCCAGATGTCTTTTTTTACCATTCAAATTGGCTTACAGGTTTTGACCTTGTCAAATGTGAGGAGCCGGGGACGCCTAATTATGGCTACAAAATCCAAGACGATGGCCATTTTGCAGATACATACGTTTTGTACAGTTGCAATCCTGGATACACACTGCATGGAAGCAGCACGCTGACGTGCCTCAGTGGAGACCGTAGGGTGTGGGACAAACCACTTCCATCTTGTATTGGTGAGTTCACAACATCAACAACTACACAAACTAATTTACTTTGATGATATTAAAGACCCTAGACCAGGGGTAGGCAAGTTAGGTCCTAGAGAGCCGCAGTCCCGCAGAGTTCAGTTCCAACCCTGAAAAAAAAAGTCCTATAGCCTTAGTAATCCTGAAGACATTGATTAGCTTGTTCAGGTGTGTTTGATTAGGGTTGGAGCTGAACTCTGCAGGACTGCGGCTCTCTAGGACCGAACTTGCCTACCCCTGCCCTAGACCATAATCTGTACCCATCTAAAGCCATTTCATATCGAGTGATGGTCTTGCTGTACTTTGCAAGAAAATGGTTCTTTTCACATTTGATCTTTCAAGTGAAGGTTTTCTCTTCGCTATTAAATGTTTGTCAGGGAATGGCTTGAGTTCCTATCCCTCACGAAAACCTGTCAAAGAGTCTCTTAATTGGTTGTCAACATTTGTCATCACTTCTAAATCTTCAGTGAAAAGCAAAAAAATCAGTGTACTGGAAAGGATGAGCATCAAAACAATCCTTAAATACCTCAAATATATTCTGATACAAATGCTATGAAATTTAGACTTTAAAACGTATACATGAAAATGGAAGGCTTAGTTATGGAAAATAATAATATATTCTGATACAAGTGCCATGAAATTTAGACTTAAAAGCTTAAAATAAATAAATAAAATAAAATAAAATGATTGTCATATCACATTAAAATGATTCAATCTAATAGACCAGGAAAGTTTTACAGTGTTTAGTGATAAACAGGCATTTGGCGGTGTTTCTTTCTATCTAGTGTTATGCAGTTTAGCCCAAGGGGCCTTTAGTTTTTTTTTTTTACCCTACCATATATTTGGCTTGGATTTATATATTTTTGGCTTCAGTAAATTTTGATGATGAATTCAGCAGTTGTACCATTCTTTGCCTTCTCCAACTCATGTAACAAGTTGTAATCCAAGAGAGATCAGCAAATGGGACTTAAAGGGGTCATATGATGTTGCTGAAAAAACATTATTTTGTGTATTTGGTGTAATAAAATGTGTTTATGCGGTTTAAGTTTAAAAAAACACATTATTTTCCACATACTGTACATTATTGTTTCTCCTCTATGCCCCACCTTTCTGAAATGCGTCGATTTTTACAAAGCTCATCGGTCTGAAAAGTGAGGTGTGCTCTGATTGGCCAGCTATCCAGTGCGTTGTGATTGGCTGAATACTTCAAGCGTGTGACAGAAATGTTACGCCCCCACCATACTGTGATGCCGTGTCCTGGAGCGACGAGACAAGAATATTAAAACCCATTATAAACGAGGCATTTGTTGCATCCAGTGGGGACATAATTACGGATTATAATGACTTATACTGTCTTTTTACGCGTTGCGTTGCATCGCGCCGCGTAAACATAAAACCATGTTTGCATTTGTGATCGGAGAAACGACAAACAACAAGCGCTACTCTACACTGCTCAAAACTTGTGTTTGAATCATCAGTGGCAAATCCTTTAAATATGAAAACTTACTTACAGTCCGTGAGTCAGAACAGCCGGCATTGTAGTCTACTCTCCCAGGATCAGGAAACAGTCCTCCATAAAATGTGCTGCACACATCTGAATATTTGGGTTGAACTGTTCTGGAACAGTGTTGTAAATACAACTTAACCACTGATTTTTAGTCGTGTCCTCTTTTGGAAGGCCAAACAAAGTAGTTTCACTTTCACAACGAAACACACAGCATCACACACGGTGGGCTAGAGTGAGCGGAGGCCGGTGGATTCAACGAAGGAGCGGCCGGCGGACTTGCGGCAACCACATGTGACGACCCCGGGGTGGACTCCGCTTCGTCCACGGTGAAAGCCGATCCGGCAATCCACAGCGTGAAGTTGATGTATTTCCTCCAGTGTTAGAATTGTGTCAAAGCTCTTGGGGGGTCCCCCTAAATAGACCCCCCCACTCCCCTTTCAAACAATCAATAAATAAAAGCTTATATAAATATGATTCATATTTTTTTGTCTCGTCCTCGTTATCATTGAGAGAACCTAATTCTAAGATAAAAGCTTATTTTACGATGATCAATGAATTAGGTACCAAGCAATCACTAAGCAAAGAAGTTAACAATCACTAAGCAAAGAAATTAAATATCTAGCCTAGTGGTGTTTTCCCTAGGTATCCCTATATTCTGGTATTTTATCAATAACGATAATCAGATGATATTTTGCTGAGTGTGTTGCGCTGCAGGACTGATGCACATGGACAGCTGACTCCTAAAATGTTTTGATATTCTTCATATTCTGCATGGTCAGTTCACAGCAGTGACTGAAATTAATCGTTTCCCACAAGTTTAAAGTGGTTTTTACTCTTTATGGGTATTTTTACCTTTATGAAGCCATTTTATTTTCTAGAAGTGTGCATTATATTTTGCATCAAATTCTTATATTTAATCAATAAATTCAATTAGAATAATAAGACATTTGGGGCTGTTACCAAACAAATAAAATCATTATGAACAAAATTCATCTTTGCAATGCAGAGGAAACACTGAAGCTGCATCTGAAGAGGCATTTAGATGTATTTACGTTTAATGCAGGACATGAATGCATTTAACCTGCAGTTACAAATGCATAAATAATGTTTTGATATTTTAATCTTAAAACGTTGAATACTGATATTTGAAATTATAAAAAAAAAATGAAAAGGTACTTTATATGTGAAATTAAAACCGCCAGTAGGTGGCAGCAAGCCACTGTTAATAAGCGAGTCATTGCGATTGAACTGAATCATTCAAACAGTTGATTCAGTCAGGAACGAAACACTGTCATGTTGCTCAGACGCAAAACAGTGCTGAAAACATTTGAACACATTTTTTGTTGGCGAAATAGAGCAAAAATAGGCAATAAAACGTAAGTCTATTAATATTAACTTTATTGAACTGTTGTATGAAATCAATATCACATTTGTGACTTTTGCGAAACAATGGCACTCTTCGTGTGATATTGATTAACTATATGCAATTATATACATATATTTTCTGCACCCATATCTTGAATTTTAGGAGCATTCTAAATGCATTTTATTAGACTGAATCATGCAGTGAAAGAACACACTCTAAATGAGCAGTCAGTCTAGCTTGCTAGCACTCATAACTCCTCTTATAATCTGCATGATAAATTAATCTCTTACTTTTATCATACGTACGTACATCTGCACTTTTGTTGCTAATGATGAGGGAATTTGCGAGTTTCAGTCTAAACAAAATTCAGCGATGACTAATCTGAACGCCTCTGATTGGCTACTGCATTCCTAAGCTCAACAGAATCGTGTGTGATTGTTATAATGAGCAACTCTGTAAAACGCGTAAAAATAAAATACGATGTAACATGAGCAGGTCTAAATTTAATATAGCAATCAAATCTTTTCATTTAATTCTCATTTTCACTAGTTTCATGTTTTAAGTATTAGAGTTTTATTGAAAAACCAGGGGACCCCCCGAGTATATTTTTTTTGGTGTTATGGGGGGTCCCTTAATGCTTATGGGAGGTCCGGGACCCCTCCCAGCCCCCCTCAATTCGAACACTGATTTCCTCAGCGACCAGCACGGATCAGCTCCAGGCATGACGAAGCGGATATCGTCCTCTTTTGGAAGGCCAAAGTAGTTTCGCCTTCACAACGAAACACACAGCGCCTTCACGACATGGCGGCGGCGGCGGCAACAACAATACTACAGCGAGAATAAAAGTTACACCTTCTTTCTTTGCGTCAACATTTGGGCGGCGTTATGCAAATCTTCCCACATCGTGACGTAGACATGTGGGGGCATGTTAGAACGAGCCGTTTTAGGTAGGCGTGGTTGACTCTTAACTTTTATAAAGAATATCTCTTTGGATTTGAGACTTTAGTCTTTGCAACTTTACAGATCTTCTTTATGCACCAAGAGCTTGTAACACTCGAAAGAGAAAGGAAAAATTTAAACCGCATCATATGACTCCTTTAAGCAAAGGGAATTCCATTAACTATTCATATTAATTTACGTTGCAGTGCTCAAGGCACATGTACCATCACAGAAGAAAGGTGATGAAGTTTGATCATGTTTCCCAAAGCTGATATTATATTCAGTATTTCAGTATGTAGAGTTTGCAGACCCTCAGAGATTTATTTTGCTTTATCTTAACCAGACAGATATTGCTTGCGCCTTCTGGTGAACCTGGCAAGAGACAACATTCCCATTGACTCTATAGATGATTTGTAAGATTTGGATAGTCTGATGACTTGAGTCAAATATTGCAGTTGAAGTTGACCTTTTTTTACTTTTATGCAAATGCTGCACATATTTAATGCAACTATAAATTGCACTACAAATTTATATAAAAACTAGATGTTTTTGCAAATGAATGAGTTGGAACAAATAATGAAGAAGTAGAGTTAGAGAGAGATTCTATGAGTATAGCTAGAAGATGATAATAATAAGAAGATGATCATAATAAAGAATTAGTACAGTAACTGTCCAAATATGACCTTAAGTATCATGTACCCTACTTTGATGTACAAATACCTTGATATATTAATTGAGGACCTGTATATCAAGTAACTAGCTATTATCATCTGATACATCACTGTACCATGGTACCACCAAGTAATTTATTGTGTGATGGAAAGATCATGTCATCAGATCAGAATAGTTGTAGAGAGTAGTATGTAGTTACAGTAGAAGTTAATGCCTAATCAAAGTTATCAAAAAGTACAAAACTTTGCATACTACACAAAACAGTCCCACAATGAATGCATCAAATATTACAAATTCATGATCTCAAATAATTTATATATATAAAAAAAATGTTTATAGTATTGTACTCTGTGACTTCCTGGAAGTATGGACATTTTCTACCACGGGGTGGTATACTGAGCTTGAACCGATGGAGAGATGCTCTCTCACTGTGGTTAGGATGAGGTAAATGATGTATACTTACACAGAGAGTATTTTAGGATAGACGCATTACAGTCTTTACCGTGCTGTACTCATTCCTTAATTAAACATTCTTGGGTAAGATGCAGTTTGAGAGAATGGTGTGGAAAATAGAGAATATTGCCTTGAGCAGACATTGTACTGTATGCATTTATTTAGAATTAGTCAACATAATAAACCCATTTACTATTTTCTCTGCAAGCTAAATTATATACATAATGGCTAAAAATACCCATAGTATACTATCATTTAACTTCAGTGCGGCTTCATTTAAATGTTTATATTTGGACTATAATTTAATGCTAAAAATCTAAACAGTCTAAAAAAAGCTCCCTTTGCTTACACTGCTTCATGGTTTGCATTAAAGATGTAACCTCTAACTATGATGTCCTCTTACATTAGCATTCTTCTTAGATTTATACGCTGAATTATTATCTGTGTCATATTAATTCATTTTGTCATAATTTGTAGTAAACTAAAACTTGATTTATTGTTTTGTTGCTTGCAAGCACTGATATTTCCTTCTGGAAATGCAAATCTAATTAAAGACCTCAATTCTTGTGTGTGTGTGTGTGTGTGTGTGTGTGTGTAGCCGAGTGCGGAGGACACACTAGTGGCGCCACATCTGGACGGATTCTGTCTCCTGGTTACCCGGCCCCCTATGACAACAACCTTCACTGCACCTGGTCCATTGAGGCGGACACAGGCAAAACCATCAGGTACGAAAACCGGTGCTTGCAAACCACGTTAATGTTTTTACCACCCCTTCTTTAATTTCCATATAATTCCCATACAACCTATAAAGGAGCACGGTGATTGCATTTCACCCCGCTGTGTGGCCTACCACTGGCTGGCATCTGTTCCTACAAGTGCATTACCGTTACACAGAGGGGGAGGGTTAGTGAAAGGGCAAAAAGAATAGAGACACAAAAAGTGATAAGCCAGTTAAGCCTTCAAAAATGGAGCAAAACTCAGGTAAGCCAATTCGGTTGATCCGTTTAAGGAGAATATGGCTTATAAGAGCAGATAAAAGGAGGCGTTGTAAGAGTGGGATGTAATCCATACCATCAGGCTTGAGTCATGTCATTTGCGTGCTGCAGGTGTTTCAACTATTTCTATACATGCAGGGTCCAGAATGAATGCTCGCCAAGCACTGAATGCCAGTAAAAATTAATTTGGCGAGCAGAGAATGTGAGTGGAGTGGAGCAACAGCAATTTCCCCTCCGCGCTCAGAGCGTCTGTAATCACTCCGCTACAACTCCACTCCATCTCTCGCTCCCAGCTCACAGGTGAAAGAAACCCCTCTCCATAGCATACATTTGCACAGTAACAGTGTTTTTTTAACATCATCTAGCTCAAGATGTATTAAGTGAAATCATGTTTGTGTAATTCCGTACAGTTGCGAGGGTGTTGCATTAGTATGATGACATGGTTGTTCGCATTTTTCAAAAGACTGTACTGAGAGGACAGACTGAGGTTTTACCCTCCTTCAGATTTTATTTTCATGTTAAAGGGATATTTCATGTTTTATTATTATTTTTTTTTATTGGCAACATTTAACTTAAATTAGTGAAATGCATTTATGTAAACAATATATACTGAACAAAATTATAAACGCAACAATTTTGTTTTTGCCCCCATTTTTCATGAGCTGAACTCAAAGATCTAAGACTTTTTCTATGTACTATTAAACAATTTACTAATAAATAATGTGTAATTAAGCTATGTGTTGATAATATTTTTCTTGCATTTTTATGTCATATCTATATGTGACCCTGGACCACAAAACCAGTCATAAGGGTAATGTAAGCATCATCTGAAATAAATAACCACTGATTTCTAGTCGTGTCCTCTTTTGAAAGAATAAATAAGCTTTCCATTGATGTACGGTTTGTTAGGATAGAATACAAATAGAGATACAACTATTTGAAAATCTGGAATCTGAGGGTGCAAAAAAATCTAAATACTGAGAAA